CCCCCCACCGCTTGTGCTGTTTTTAACACGAGGGTACAGGATGTTCTGCTCTGTACAACCTCAACCTCCCTCTCTCCTCCCCCTGCCCTCCCCCCCCTTTCCTGCTGGCCCCATGGCCTTCACCTCTCCTTCTCTCCGCTCTTGTTTAACCCTTTTTCTTGCAAGTAAATAAATAAATAAAATAAAATTGCCTTTTGTTAACATTAGGACCACCATTTTTGCAAGCCTCACCTCTTCTCTTACTATTTCTATGGTGACTGTTATCGTTATTCAAGCGATATTTCAGCAGGAATCTCTCCTTGCATCTCCCCACCCCATGTAATGCCTGGGACTGCAGTGCAGGAGTCATTCCAGGTGCCACCCCAGTGCTCATCCACCAAACACCCCCAGCAAGAACTGCTCTTGGGAGAAGGGGTTGGGGGGGGGCGGGCAAATGCTTCCTGATAGCACTGGGCCCTCGCAGCCGTAACCCCAATCCCAATCCCAATCCTAACTGTACCCCTCTCACAATGGCAGCTTTTAGCACCCACCCCTTGGGTGCCCTCCACTATTTCCAGTGGTGCACAATGAGTACTGGTGGGAGAGGGGTTCGAGGGGCAAACAGCACATTGGGGCTGGTTCTGGTGCCAATAGGATTTGATGGTGCCATGGTGCCATGGAGGGCCCCATGAGTGCACCTTAAAGTGGGGTTAAAGCTGCAGAAATGCATGCATTGGTTTTGCATTGCAGTGTGTCCCAATTGCAGCTGGGGGGGGCTCAGTGACTCCCCTGAGTGCACATTCACCACTGGGGTAGCTTTGGGATGGAGGGGGGCTCATGTGTACTGCAGGGAAACTCGAGTCCTTGGGGTGACCCCAAGTCCTGCTGCATGCACCCAAAGCTCTGGGGAGGCGCATGAGGCTGATTGTAGGGGCACCCCTCCACATGGCCCCCCACCTTGGGCACTGACCCATCTTGGGGTTTGCCTGAAGCTCTGTGGGGTTTGCACAGCTTAGGGACAATGTTGGTGTGGAGACGGCGTCTCCAACTTTCACTGTAGAAGAAAAAAAGATAGAAAGTAAAAAAAAAGACAAAAAAATGAAAGGTAAAAGGTAAAAAAGAAAAACAGAAAAGCAAAATTCTTGAAAAGTGGTCTGGTTTTGCTCCTCGTGTCAAAAGCAATTGTTGCAGATTTTTCCCAGCCTCTCCTGTTTGGCCTTCACATGGGACATAGGGAGCAATGCCACCGCCTATTTTCCTGCTCCTGTGTTTTCCTCACAGCTGGAGGTGGAGGAGGATACATTGAAGGACACCTTGGAAGCAGACCCTGAGTAGCCCCCCAGGGGAGCAGCAGAGTGTGGGTGCTGGTGTCCCCCAACCGACTGCACTCCACACCACCACATTCCATCTCATTTCATCATACCCCCCATCCCATCCCATACAACTCCTATCCCACTCCCATCCCATCCTGTCCCATATCACCTGGATATGCACATGGGGGTGCTGTGGTGGGGACCCCCCAAACCATGCTGTTGGCCCTGAGCACCCCCGGAGCAAGCAGCAGACACTGATGATTTCCAGAAGGACCAAAGCAACAAATTCCCCCAATCTGCTGGCTGAATGCTTTGTGCTACTGCAGGAATTAATTAGAGGGGTATGTTGGAGGGGGGATGGGATTGTGTTAGCATAGGGAGGGTTCAGGGATGGGGGGAGACTCTGGAGTGGGATCCTCCAGGATCAATGTTTTTAGGGTAGAATTCCCCAAAGTGGTGCTGAGCTGTGACTGGGGGGGGAGGGGGATCTGGGGGTGCTGTGGGCAATGCTGGGAGCTGCACCAGGATGTGATACTGGGGGTTGTTGACAAAGGGGTGATGCAATGAGGGTGTGCAGTGCAATGCAGTGCAATGGAGGTGTGCAATGCTCTGGGGGCGTACAATTCTCTGAGGGTGTGCAGTGCAGTGAGAAAGTGCAATGCTCTGGGGGCGTGCAATGCTGTGGGGGTGTGCAGTGCTGTGGGGGTGTGCATGCAAAGGGGGTGCACCCTACAAGGATGAACAGCAATGCAATGAGTGTTTGCAGTGCAGTGCAATGCAATGGTCGTGTGCAACGCATGCTGACGAGGACACCCAGCAGGGCCACGTCACCCCGTGCAGAGCAGAGCACACTACACTCGCATTCTCCCTAAAAAAATGCCGCTCCCAACTGTAACCCAGAGCCTCCCGGGGGGGTTCTTGGGGGGTTCCGGAGGGGGGCTGCCCGGGGCCTTCCGTGACCCCGCAGCAGCACCGCGGGTGGGGGCGGGCGGTGTGCCAGGCCCCGGCGTGGGGACGCGATGTACCGGGCGGAGGGAACAGCCCTGACTCAGCAGTAGCGGGG